AGGTGATTGAATATTTTCTTATTTATTTTGTAACCATAGCTACTGTTGTTCAGTTCATGTGTAAGAGGGATTAAGGATAAACAAAACAGAAGGGGTGACAGAGAATCTCCTTGAAAGATTCCACGTCGGATATTCAGACGGTTGGATATGGCAGTGCCCCCGGTGTGACTAAGGTATAGTTTGGTGTTCCACATTCCCATGCTGTGCTTAAGGAAATTTAATACCACAGGGAAGAGACTTTGTACATTTCCAAAGTCTTAAGGATCCAAGAATGTGGAACACTATCAAAGGCTTTACGATAATCAATCCACGCTGCACTAAGATTTCTGCGTCGTCTCCTGCAATTTTCCAGGATCATTTTATTTATCAGAAGTTGATCTTTGCAGCCATATGAACCTCTTCTGCATCCCTTCTGTTCCAGCGGAAGAATGCTGTTTGTTTCGAAAAAGGAATAAAGTACGGTTCGTCAGTACAGACGTGATCAACTTATACGTTGTGGAGAGACATGTTATCGGTCTATAATTTTTCGGGTCGTCTGTTTCAGTTGTTTTTTGGTATGAGGTATGTAATACCTTCAGTAATCCATTCCGGGATTTTATTGGGATTATTTACAAGCGTTGATAATGTTTTTTGCAAGAATTTCATGGGTAGATGTGAGATGATACAACCAGAAATTGGGCAACTTGTCATTTCTGGGGATTTCCATTTTTGGGATTTCGTTAGAGCTTGCCTAACATCATCTGTGGATATATTTTCCCATTCTTGCAGAGGTGTATCCAGCAGTCGTTCTTCTTCACGCCGTATCCATTCTGCATTTGGATTATATTCCTTTGGGCTGCTCCAAATATTTTCCCAAAATGTCTGTACATTATCAATCGATGGTGGCCTTTCGACATGTATAGGTGTTTTTCCAATTTCCCTGTAAAATTTCTTAAGATCTGTTCGGAATATTTTATTTTGGCGATAGAACCTACAACTTTTTTCGTATCGTCTTGTTCTCTGTGTCTTTAGCTGAAGTTTCTGCTTCAGCATTTTCTTGATTGATGGAATATCAATTAGGGATTTAATGTTATATTTCCGCTTGATCTTTTGAATTTAATGTGTGAATATTAGGGTTTCTGGTGAGCTCATCTAATATAGAAAGCTCACATCTGATTTGTTGTATTTCTCGAATCAGTTTGGTTTTCCAAGCTGGTTCTCTGTGTCTGTTAATTTTATTTATTGTCTCAACTCCAAGCTACCGAGTCGCTGCTAAAGCTGTGGCGTATATGACGTTGTTAACTTCTGTGATGTTTCCCGGTGGTTTATCTGTTAACAGTGTTTCCAGAGCAGCATTGTATATTTTCACGATGTGCTTGTTGGAGTTCGTCATATGGATTTTCGGGAGCTGGTCTCTGTCTGACAATTGTATTAATGTTACTCTGCTGAGTACTTGGATGACGTCATTTTTCGCTTCGGTGATTTCAGCTTCGTGGTTTTCAAGGAATTCTAACTTATTGTCACTGAAGATGACTCCAGGTACAGTTTCTGGAGGACTGTAGGTTGTGTTTAAGGTAGAGTCTTGGGTTTCATTTCCTGGGAGATTATTTCGTATTTCATTCGCTTTAGCGTCCACCTCATCCTCTGTCGCATTCCTTATTTCTACATTCGTCTCAATAGAGATTAAGTGATGGGTCATAGTATTTTGTCTTATATCTAATTTTATCTTATCTATTTCTGCCTTTGAGAGTCTGTTGTTTCGCATGAAATTACGGACAAATTTTTGTTTGGAAAATATTTTTTACATCATTAACCGTACTTTAAATATTTGGTATGTTTGATTGGTGGTGTTTTTGCTGGGTTTTCGTTAAAAGTGAAAAGGATGTCAACCATTGTTGATACTCTTCGCGGCTCCATTTCGTTCGTTTACTTTTTATTTCGTTTATTATTATTATTATTATTATTATTATCTGATTCGATTTCTGTTGTATACTCATTTCCTTCCGGGTCCCAACCAGAGACCTAAGCATCAGAAATGGCGTCATGACATTTTCCAATTAACATTTTTTAAAAAAAAAAAAATAAAATTTAAGAAATGGAACATTTTGAATTAAAGGCCATTATAAAATTGAACTGTACAATTGACGACATTTTTTTTTTTTTTTTTTTTTTTATTTTTTTTATTTCTACAAGGTATCCCTTCGAGGAGTCTATCGGAATCTTTTTTCAATCAAACGGAGGGTTGCAACCAACAAGCGGAATTATTTGTCTTCAGGTACCAAATTTTTGAGATTTAATTTCAAGATCCTTGCATTTTGACAGTTTTTTTGAAGATATTTAAAGATACATTATAAACTGCATTTGCAAATTTTAAATAATAAGGTTCACATTCTGTTTTTGTGGTATTTTGATCTTTGATGTCTGGGTAATTAGCTTTGATTGTTCTGTCTCTTTGTATTGAAATGACCCAAAAACTGTTACTGATCCTATCTCTGTAAATGGGTCTGGGTGGTATTTATACCATTTTTTATATTTATATTATTATTACTATTTATTATTTTTGTAGTACGAGTTACCTGCAAGTCTCAATCGGAGTTTTCAAAAGACAGTTTTTTGTATCAGAAGATGGAAACAGATACGGCACTATTCAATGAGATAAAAAAAATGTAATTATGGTCACTGCATTGAGAAAAATCTACATAAGCTGTAAGAACAACCGAAAATATTTGCATTTTTGCACTTGTAAAACTTTGGACTGCTAAGTATTTTATCCACATAATTGTTTGTCCCTTTTTAATATTAATTCCCAAAAACTCAATAACAACAGGTAATAATGAAACCGGTAATGATATATCCGGGAGAGGCATAGAACGTGGAACTAGGACAATTTACTTTATGGACGAAAAAAGAAAAAAAAAAATTCGAATCACTTGAAGTTATTTCTAGATTACAACCGCTGAAACGTCATAAATATGACACCAAAAATGAGGACAGCAGTCCGAACAATATAAATAGTGTGAGATAAACTGGAATCTGGAAAAGAGAGAAAAAACAGACCAAAGGATCAGAAAACTCTATTTAGTCTACTGATTTCTATCTCGAGGTCCTATATTTGCTTAGTTTTCTGAAAGGTTTTCAAATATGTGATTTTATCGGATGGGAATGCAACATCTATCAGCAGACATGTATTTCCAATATGATTTTTTTAATAATTATACCTAGTCGATTTTCCTGGTATCGCACTTTGGAGGTAGTCAACGGAAATTCTGTTCTTGAGGCAAAGTGTCTCCAAGACGCTTCACAATGAAGAATCTTTCGAAGAATGCTCATAGAATAAAGGATAAGTTTTCTGAATGTCTACAATGTGGCCTCAATTCTAATTCTTTCTAAACGCTCTTTCAACCCTCTAGGTGGTGTTCCAAGTGCACCTATTACTGCAGGAATCACTTCAACAGTCGTGTAGTCCTGGTTATGACGATTAACTATATCCGGCAGCAAGGCGTTTGATTAGAAGTATTGAGATTTTCAGGAGCATGGAACCACTTTTTAATTGCTGTTGTGTCCAGATCCACCCCAGCTCTGGGGTGGTAGCACCTGTTAAGGGTCCCAGATAAGGAAAGATTGTGAACACCCAATCAAAAACAAAACACGATGAAAGTATAAAAATATATTTTTTTAATATATTTATATATATTTTTTAATATTATAGTAAAAAATACCAACAATGCATTTTAATATTTAAAAAAATACTAACACTATAGTAAATTTACCAACAATACATATTATAGCAAAATGACGAATAATATACAGTGTAACCCGGATATAAGAGACCCGGATATAAGAGAAACCCGGATATAAGAGAGATTTTCTCTGGTCCCAAATTAGAGCCCATACTTACCTAAACAAAATAGACCAAACCCGGATATAAGAGACTTCTTCTCCGGTCCCGTTACAACTCTCTTATATCCGGGTTACACTGTATTTTATCTGTTGTTCAAGGCATACAACTGCGTTCAAAATGTTTAGATTTTGGCGTTAAATAACCCATGCAGGGTGATATGATTCTAAATAAAACCAACTAACCAAAGAAAAACAACCAACATTAAAGAAAACATTCATGATATTAATCCGTATAATATACAATTTCTTAAAACAAATTGTATTCCAAAATAAAACTTCATCAAAACTATAACATAAAGCACACATCACCGCCTCTAGTAATCAAACCCACACAAACATATATAGAGAAAAAAATTCTGAGTATCATCTACCATGTAATCAAGTGCGAAAGCAGAATAACGTATATCATATTTTTATTACTTCAATACACCCATGAAAATTAAAGCTTGGCATTAAATGACTGTTGTGGACCCAGAATAGGTCCGAAAGAAAACTCAGCAATTTAGTGAAAACGTATTATTAACAAAAAGAACGAATACAAAAGTGTTGCGCGTCCGACTGACGGCAAAGTACAGTAGTCAACTCGTCAAATGTAAACAGCGATATTTAGTTACCCAAACCACCACGAGGGTTACATGCACAAAGGCCGGTTTAATGTGGGATCTCCGAGCCTATAGGCTATAAATATATATATTTGAACCCGCCTAAACGGGTTATAGGGGCAGTCAACCTCCCTGAACGAGATATATATATTCGACGGAGCCTCATCCGGGTATATCTGTGCATGAGGGCAGAGAGTTCGACTGTTTATCTGGAACAGGTCAACTATAGACAGCTCTCTTGATAGGCATAATCTCCCCGTATATATAGTAATAGGACGAGTCCATTTAGTCCATAAAGGTAGGTCCGATAACAATGACCCATATTGATATGCCGTTAAACAAACAAATCAATCAATGAACAGCCATGCACCATAGAGTTTTTCAACTCCTTAATCAATTTCTGGTATTTTATAATCTTTTAAGTTTCTTCAGAGTCAACTGACAGAAAAAAAAAATGAAAAAACGTGTTCGGGTCAGTAAGGTTCGATCGTGTATCATTTCCTCCTACTTCCTGCAAGCTTACGGTCATAACACGTTGAAATACCAGTTCTCCTACGATCATCAAAGTTAAGCAAAATAGAGCCTGGTCATTACCTAGATGGGTGACCCCCTTGAGAATACCAAGTACTGTAAGCTTAGATGTTCGGCTGGTGTAATGCACAACGGCTCGGAATTGGAAATCGGAGTTCTAATTCCAGTCGAGTTTGTTATATTCACTTAAGCGTAAATACCTTTGGGAAATATCAAGTGCCTTGAGGAGTTAGTGCTGGTCTGGGTCAAGTGTGTGGTTGCTGGAAGACCCTATATCTGGAAACAGGACTCTGCACCATGCTACACAAGCAGGAGAACCCAGTCATAGCTGTAAGACAATTTCTGTCCCCGCATCACGCCTTATATCGTGTCACCTAACTCCCCAAACTACACCCCCTTGATTATCATGTGTGGAACGCAGTTGAGCAAAAGACCAGCAAAACCCCTTGTAAAACCAAAGATGAACTAAAATCAAGGATTATGGCAGCATTCACCAATTTAAAAGGAGACGTCCAAAAGAGTTGCAGGAAATTCCGTCTATAGAACGTCGTTGAAGCCAATGTCGATTTTATTGAATAAATTTACTCTTTAGTATTACAAGATTTTTTTTGTGTGTAATTTTGGTAAATATATTTTTTGAAAAGAAATTTCAGTTTTATCAGGTCATCCCATAAGTTCTGTCCGAATTTTAACTTTTTGTTAAAATGAACGAAATTTAAAGAGTATTTTATAATGTCTAATGGAGCTGAACATTATTTTTATGTTTAGATGCATTTAAACTGATCAAATTTTATTTCAGAAAACAATAAAATTAAATTTTGTTTGATTAAAACCCTGCTAACATGGAAGTACCCAAGAATCATTTGAGGCACATAATGCTTTATGAGTTCAAGAAAGGAAACTCAGCAGCCGAAGCGGCTAGAAATATTCACTCAGTTTATGGAGAGGAATGTGTGAATGAAAGAACTTGCAGAAGATGGTTTGCAAAATTCAGAGGTGGAGATTTCACCCTTGAAGATGAAGATCGAACCGGACGTCCAGTTGAGTTTGATGAAAAGCTTCTTGAAGCAGCCCTTGAAGAAAATTCTGCTTTATCAGTTGAGGAATTGGCAGTGGTTCTCAGTTCAAACCATACAACTGTTCATCGTCATCTTCAACATCTTGGAAAAGTTTCTAAACTTGGAAAATGGGTGCCTCATGAATTGTCTGAAAACAACCTCAAATCCCGAGTTGACATCTGCTCTTCTCTCCATTCTCGCCAACATTTTTCAACTTTTTTGAATAGACTTGTGACTGGTGACGAAAAATGGATGTTTTATCGAAATGTTAAGCGTAAGACATTGTAAAGGGAAGGACCCCAGCCACACGAGAAGTGGATTGAGCAAAAATTTTCTTCTTTCAATCTGGGGAAGGACCTAATGCCAATTAATGTTCAAATATACTGTCAGCAATTAAGCGTTTGAACCTTTGAGGAAAAAAAGACCTGCTCTAGTGAATCGAAAAGAGGTGATGTTTCATCAGGACAATGCGCGACCCCACACAGCAAGAATCACGTCACAAAAGATCGAAGAACTTGGTTGGGAGAAAATTCCTCATCCACCGTATTCTCCCGATCTTCCTCCTTCAGACTACCATTTGTTTCGTAGCTTACAGAATCATTTGGAAGAAACAGCTTTTGTAACACAGGAAGAGGTTAAAACTGACATTTGTGAGTTCTTCGAATCAAAGCCAAAATAATTTTACCGTAATGGAATTAGAAAGCTTGTTAATAGATGGAAGGAGGTCATAGATAATCAGGAAAAATACATTGTTGATTGAATCTGTAATTTAATGTAACATTTGGTCAGTTGTTTTCTTTATTCAAAATGCGGACAGAACTTATGGGATGACCTGATATTTTCATTTTTGTGGCATTTAGACGACAATTTATCCATCGCACGTCGTATTGCGATCATTTTGTTTAAAACTTGTATTAAAAAAACAAAAAACAGATGGAGACAGATTTTTTGCAACATATTTCAATAAAATTTGAACTTTCAAAATTATAGCTTATAGTTTATGCAGAATACAAATCGATTTGTCTTTGCTACGGTTAGAAGTCCTCATGTCTATTAATGAACATGTAAAAAGAGAGACATTGTACAGTGTCCGACAGAAATACCTCCCACACAATGGTAAGATATTAGCTAGATGAAGACACCATTACTACTAATGTCTTACCATTATATGAGAGGTATATGTGGGAGGTATTTCTGCCGCACATTGTATAATTAGCCATTTGGCACTGAACTAAAAAATAACTACAGAGATAATGTTTCTGCACTGAACACATTCTGCTTATTAATGATTGCATTGTGGTAAGGCACCCAATACATGTTTACTACTGAACATGTAAATACCCAAAATACTTATCAGTATCTACAGACCAGATACCAGTGTGATAGACTGTAACAATCATAAGGGGCACCTAGTGAGGATCGAACTCACATCACCAATAATAACCAGTGGACTAATTTGCTATGACATTGTTATTCATTCCAGTTGAGAAATAACTTAGTTTTAAGAAAACGAAGAATCAAAAAAAAAAAACAAATTAACCATTGTCCTCCTGGTGTCAATTTAAACTGACATCGTTTCTATATATTAAGATCATGTTGCTTAAAAGCTTCTATTTTTAAATAATCAACTAATATTTTCCCGCTGTCATATTAAACTGACACCTTCTTTCTTTCCATATATTGTGATCATTTTATTTAAAACTTGAATATTTTAAAAAATTTCAGATGAAGACTTGGATTATTTCCAACATATTTCAATGATATTTTAACTTTCAAAATAACAGTTTATAATCGTAGTTTAAATATATGGAAAAAAAGAAGGTGTCAATCTAAACTGACGTCAGGTGGATTAGGATGAGACAAATAAAAACCAGTGAGACATGGGTATTGTTAAAGAAATATATTTTATTATATATGAAAATAAAACCTATGCATTTTAGCGGTCAGACATTGATTTGTCCAAAATACAAAATAAATTGGTTTACAAATGTCCGCATACATTTCTTTCTCTTGAAATCAATTATACGAAGAACCAGACCCATGTGAAAAGCGTGAAGCACGACCATTGTTGAAAGTGGTATGGTGCCAAGAATTACCATCCTCTTTTTTGTTACTGCTATCTCTGTCAGAATGCGAAACGTGCCTGTTACCAAACGAAGCAGCCTTCCAAGAATTACGGTACGCTCCGTTGCCGCTATCACCAAAAGAGGAAGTTGTGCTGGAGTCCTTGTCGTAACTTTGCTGACTCCAATAATACTGGTCTTCTTCGCTGCTGCTGCTGCTACTATCGTCACTTTCTCCATGAGCAACGGTAACTGAGCATGCGCAGTCATCGGCGTTGTAAGCTGTTCCTTTGGGGCAGGGTTGAGTTATCCAGCCCCAACCCTCAATAAACTGCGCGTATGAGCTTTTATCGTGGGTTGCTTTTCGGGTGCAGGGAACGGCTTGTTTATGATAGCTAGCAGTATTCCAAGAACTGCTACCTTTTACGCTGCTACTGTCGCCATAACCTGCTGAAACTCTGGAGCCTTTTTCGAAACTTTGCTGACTCCAAGAATGACTATCCTCCTCGCTACTGCTGCTGCTGTCATCACTACTTCCATGAGCAACACTAACTGAGCATGCACAATCGTCAGCACTATAAGCTGTTCCGTCGGGACAGGGTTGCCTCTTCCAGCCTTTACCTTCTATGAACTGCAAATAAGATATTTTATCGTGGGTAGGTTTTCGCGTACAGGGAGCAGCTCCTTTAATATAGCCAGCGGTATTCCAAGAACTGTCACCTTTTACGCTGCTACTGTCGCCATAACCTGCTGAAAATCTGGGGCCTTTTTCGAAACTCTTCTGACTCCAAGAATGACTATCCTCCTCGCTACTGCTACTGCTGCTGCTGTCATCACTGCTTCCATGAGCAACACTAACTGAGCATGCACAATCGTCAGCACTGTAAGCTGTTCCGTCGGGACAGGGTTGCCTCTTCCAGCCTTTACCTTCTATGAACTGCAAATAAGATATTTTATCGTCGGTAGGTTTTCGGGTACAGGGAGAAGCTCCTTTAGTATCACTAGCGGTATTCCAAGAACTTCCGTCTACTTTGATGCTACTGTCTCCGAAGCCAGATTTTGGGCTGCCGCTCTTGCCATAACTTTGCTTACTCCAAGACTGACTCTCTTCTTCACTGCTGCTACAATCTTCGCTATCTTCGGGAGTGACAGTAACTGAGCATGCGCAGTCATCGGTGTTGTAAGCTGTTCCTTCGGGGCAGGGTAGAGTATTCCAGCCTTTACCCTCGATAAACTGTAAATAAGAGCTTTTATCATGGGTTGGTCTTCGTGTACAAGGAACGGCTCCTTTACCATAGCTAGCCGTATGTATGCTCGGGCCTTTGCCATAAGTTTGCTGATACCCCAAATTACTGTCTTCCTCGCTGCTGCTGCTGCTGCTATCGTCACTCTCTCCGTGAGCAACATTAACAGAACATGCGCAATCGTTAGCACTGTACGCTGTTCCTTCGGGGCATGGTTGACTTGTCCAACCCTTACCTTCTATAAATTGCAAATAAGAGCTTTTATCATGGGTTGGTTTTCGTGTACAAGGAACGGCTCCTTTACCATAGCTAGCCGTATGTACGCTGTGGCCTTTGCCATAAGTTTGCTGATACCCCAAATTACTGTCTTCCTCGCTGCTGCTGCTGCTGCTGCTGCTATCGTCACTCTTTCCGTGAGCAACATTAACAGAGCATGCGCAATCGTTAGCACTGTACGCTGTTCCTTCGGGGCATGGTTGACTTGTCCAACCCTTACCTTCTATAAATTGCAAATAAGAGCTTTTATCATGGGTTGGTTTTCGTGTGCAAGGAAAGGCTCCTTTACGATAATTAACGGTATTCCAGAAAATGCCGTCTTGTTCGCTGCTACTCTCGCCATAACCTGCTGGTATTTTAATATCCTTTCCATGGTGACTCCAAGGATGGCCATCTTCCTCACTGCTGCTACTGTCACCATAACCGGACCGTGTATTGCTGGTCTTGCCGTAAGTCTGTTGTCCCCAAGAATGGATATCTTCCTCACTGCTGCTGCTAACATCAGTGTCTCCATGAGCAACCGTAACTGAGCATGCGCAATCATCGGCACTATATGCTGTTCCTTCAGGACAGGGTTGACTTGTCCAACCCTTACCCTCAATAAACTGCAAATAAGTGCTTTTATCATGGGTTGGTTTTCGTGTGCAGGGAATGGCTCCTTTGCGATAATTAGCGGTATTCCAAGAACTTCCGTCTTCTTCACTGCTACTGTCGCCATCGCCTTCATGTACGCTAAGGCCTTTGCCATAAGTTTGCTGACCCCAATGATTGCTGTCTTCCTCGCTGCTGCTGCTGCTGCTATCATCATAACCGGATCGTTCGCTTTGACTCTTGCCATAAGATTGGTACTGCCAGGAATCTTCTTCGCTGCTGCTACTCTCATCGGAACGGACAGATACTGTACAACCACAGTCACCAGCATTGAAGGCAGTGCCCTTTGGACAATGTCGGGTCATCCAACCATGACCTTCGACAAATTGAAGGAAATTATTTTGGCTGCTTGTTGCTTTTAATAAACAATGTCCGTCCCATTCTTCAGATTCGGAATCATCATCTTCACAGCTGCTGTCACTTGAACCATCTTCGGATGCAGAACAACGGCAGGTACTAGCATCAAACATTGTTCCTTTTGCACAAGCTCGTCGTATCCAACCATGACCCTGGACCATCTCCATATAGAAATGGCTGTCATCTTCAGCTTCTCGGTTGCACACTTTAGCATCGGCTTTTCCCCAAATGTTCTCTTCACTACTGCTGCTGCTGTCGTCGGATAAGAAGAGTGCAGGAACAGTCCTCAGCACTGTAAGCTGTCCCATCAGGGCAGGATTGTCTATTCCAACCCTTACCCTCTACGAATTGCATGTAAGATCTTCTATCATGGGTTGGTTTTCGAGTGCAGGCAACGGGCGCTGTTTTCCCGTTGTCCTCTTCACTGCTACTGTCGCTGTCGTCTTGGTCTTGTTGAGGTAGAGAAACGGAACAGCCGCAGTCCCTTTCACTGAACAATGTCCCCTCTGGGCATGATCGTTGCATCCAGCCATGGTTTGGAACGAGTTCTAAATAACAGCCGGGATCGTCAGCAGGTTTCAGTCTGCATTGCACCTCAGATTTCGTATCCTCACAGCTTTCATCACTGCTATCGTCATTAACTGGACGGTAGACTGCGGCAAAAGCCTGGTTGGTTAAGGCCAGGGCAAGTAGCAATGGCACAAACGTGTAACCTAGAGAAATACGCATTTTTTTAAAAATATTATTTTCTAGATCTTTAAAGCTGAGTTGATTTTGCTTTGGGATCTAAACGAGAAATGTGATGTTAGTCTCGTCTTTTCGGCTATATATATATATGTACCGAAACCTTTGGAGGGGGTGGCTATTTTGTGGTTTTCATTCTGGCCAAACTTCTTATGTATGTAATAATTGTGGGGACCAATCAAGGGTATGAATAAGTAACTTACGTAAGACATGTGAGAAAGGTAAAGTGTACGTGACTCATTAATGTACATTAAGGAACTGATGTCATTTCTTCTCCACCCGATGACACTCAACTGATATTCGCTTTTTATTCCTGACAGTTTGCCGTCGTTTGGTTTTCATTGTATTGACTCCATTGTATTGCTTGTACAAGATTCATAAATTTAAATGCTGACTTTTTAATTATCATGAGGTAATTAAAGTCCATAATGACGTTTCTATTATCTCAATGCTTAGGCTTTTTCGACAAAGGTTTTAAGCTTCTGTGAAAAATGGCCTTTATCTTTTTTTTTAATAAATTCCATCTTTTTCTTCTCAGACAAAAATTTTTTCATAATAATCTGAACATTTAGAGAAAGGTTTCGTGAAGAAACAATAATAATAATAATAATAATAATATGAAGACAGATAATAACAATAATAATCGGAGCACTGGGCCTCGTGAGAAACGAAATGAACAACTTTACTAAGTGTCGCAGGTAACATCAACATAAAAGTTGCCCAGAAGATCGCCCTACTACGAATATTAATTAATTATTAATAAATTATTTTATTTAATTAATTATTAATAAACTATTTTATTTTTACTAATTATTATTTTAAGAGTAAGAGGGTATAAATATTAAAAGATTTGAAATTGACAACTTTTGATATTTCACTGAAACAGAGGTTAAGCACTTAGATATTTCTGTCTTTTTTTCACTGAAACCAAGTAGCGTCTCTGATATGTCTTGTCTTTCCGCGCGATCAAAACGGAATAGTCCATTATTTATTAGTTATTGGCAGGGCGTAACGGTTGTGGAAAGTAACAAAGGGCAAATCACAGTTATAATGGGATAATACTATGCTAATGCTTTAAGTTAAAATATATCTGTTAAAGAGTATGATAAAATTATATTCGAAATATGAAATTGTAAAAAAAAAAGTAGCACCTTGAAACTAATATTATCCTTATAAGAATAGGAACACTGAGCACGATAAAAACGGTACAGACAAAACATGAGCAAAATCCATTGAAGCCCCTATTTACAATGGATTCAAAAGATTGCACTGGATGGAACTGCTTATCTATTTGAAAGAATATTATTAAGGTAATAAATTTATAAACAGAGTTCATGTTAATTATCACCTAACAACAACGTCCTTGATGTCATCAGATCCCAAGTAGGTATATATGCAGATGGCACAACTATTTAATCCTGTCTTAGTAGCAAGTCCGACAGGTCCGAAAAAGTTAAAACTGGCAACTTCTCTTGAAAAGGAACTCAAATCAATAGTTAACTGGGGCGAGGAATGGTTTGTAAATGTTAACGCCTCCAAATCGAAATTGCTATCGTTTAATCACAACAGAGAACATTTTCTGTTTGACATCAGTATGGCTGCTGCTAACCTCCAGGAGGGAAACTCTTTAAGCTTTTTTTTGGGGGGGGGCGCGTTTTCCACTGAGGTGAAGTGACGTGATTCTATTGAATCAATTGATAGGTCTACTGCTAGGAAAGTTGGTTCACTGTGTCGTGCCAGACAGTTTTTCTGACCAGAATCCATCTTGCACATTTATAAATCTACCATTCATCCGTGCATTGAATACTGGCACCATATTTGGTCTAGTTCTCCTACTCTATATCTCAAAATTCTTGACGAAATTCAAAGAACGGTCTGTAATGTAATCGATCTTGACCTGGCATCTCGACTTCAGTCACTTTCTCACAGACACGATGTGGCTTTCCACTGTCTTTTCTTCAAATATTTTCATGGTAATTGTTCTGGTGAGCTTTCCGTCTCGGTGCATCGACTGCACTAATTTTAGCGTGTTACTAGATTGGCAGTTAGGTCTCACCGTTTTACTGTCGAACTCGCTTAATGCAACCGTCGGTTTTATTCTAATAGTGTCTTTTCTCGCACTTATCGCCTGTGGAACTCCATTCGGGTTTCTTGCTTCCCTCCCACCTTCAATTTTCAAAAATTTAAATGCAAAGACAATCGCCAAATTCTGTTTTCCTGAATCTTGTTCCTTTATTGTCCTTTTTCTTCAATACAGTCTTCTCATTCTCTTTTAATCCCCTTAACCCCTTGCGTCCTAGTGGCATTATGACCTTGCTTGGGGTGAAATGATTGAAATAAAACTTATCCGAATTTGTGTCAGCGAAATGCATATATTTACTGTCTTACTTTAAACTATCTTTCGAGTAATGACTCAAGGAACTGGACTGAACAGAAAGTGAAAGAAAATAATAATAATAATAATAGAAATCTCAAAATGTGACATATGGGAACATCAACAATCCCTGTTGTAGTTGGAGCCCTAGGACTGGTTGGAAAAGATTCCAGTTGACTAATTGAAGGAATTCCTGGAAGTCCATACCTCAAAGAGATACAAAACATTGTTCTGACAAGTACATCCCACACTTTACGAAGGGCTTTATCCATGTAATATTTTATTATTATTATTATTTTGTCATGACGCCATTTCTAACCTTAGGTCTCTGGGCAGGACCCGAAAAGAAATGTAAACGCCAGAAATCAAAGAAAATAATAATAATAATAATAATAATCTTGTATCAGGTTGCACGATATTGGCACCCACTGAGTATAAAACCCGGCATGACAGAGTGGGCCAATATCTGCACTGGAAAAAAACTTCTACAGGAAGGAAACTTAAAGAAACTGGTATGAACATCATCCAGACCCGTTTACGGAGATAGGACCTGTTACAATTCTATGGGACTACACAATACACACTGACAGAACAATCAAAGCCAACTGCCCAGGCATTGTTATTAAAGACCACAAACAAAAAAAGTGCCTCCTTATTGATATGGCAGTCCCTGCAGACTGCAATGTATCTTTGAGATCTTCAAAAAAAACTATCAACATCCAAGGATCTTGAAACAGAAATAAAAAATGTGGCACACGAGGACATCAGTAATCCAGTTGTACCTGGAGCACGTGGATTGATTGGAAATGTTTCTTGATAGACACATTGAAGGGATTCCTGAAGACCAATGTTTTTAAAGAAATACAAAGAATTGTACTGATAACTAGAGCTCACACATTACGAAGAGCTTTATGTAAAAAATGCGTGTGATCTTACGTTTTTTTTTTTTTTACAAAATGATCAGTGAAAATACATGATGCCATTTCTGACCTCAGGTCTTTGGTTAAGACCCGAAAGGAAATGTGTACAAGAGAAATCAAAGAAAATAATAATAATAATAATAATAATAATACCAAGAAACAGCTTAAAAATAAAATTTTTCGCTTTAGTGCAAAAAAAAGGATTATTTCCTGGAATCTTTCTGTCTCGCAGGACGCTGTAGGGATACCTAACACCATTGAGAATGCGCAAGTGAAAGCCGACCTTGGAACAATTCATGTACTGAGGAAAACCCTGTGTCTCTAAGCTGCAAGTAGGAGATACATCACCAGGCCAGAACATCATAGAATCGGAGAGGATCTCAAATAATAATAATAATAATAATAATAATATAATAAAGATGAAGAAGCAGGGGCAGGGGTTAATATATAATCTTAGTTTTATTGGAAAGAACAAGGGAGAGTAGTCGCCATATTTAACTCAGCATTGAATATTGAAATCTTTTTGCCAATGAATAGCAATTTCGATCCCCAGTGTTTGCTACATAACTGTTGCCTTGACTTAGATAAACTCAGTAAATATATGTATGTTGGGCTCGGTTCAATTGTTAAACACACATACATTCTATTCTATGATATAAAACACTATGTGATTATATATATATATATATATATATATATATATATGAAAAATTTCTCAGAGATAACCTGTTTTTTGGAAAGACAATATTTATAAATGTAAAAGACAATAGGAAAACTGTATAGTAGTGTGCGCGTTTCGTCCAATCCAATTTTTTTTCTAAAAAAACGAAATGAATTTATTAAACAAAGTAACTAAATAACAACAACAAAACAAAATTTTCCTCAGCAACTTGAAGAATACATTTTTTTTTGATTTCTACAACCCTATCAAGCAATCAAAAGAAAATAGTTGAATCCGTCAACACAACAATAAAAACAATATCCCCACAAGTGACAGTACGTGACGTAATGTTCAGTTGACAATATGAATATAAAATCGTTTTCTAAATTCTTCCAGTTGCTTAGAATTTTTTGTTTTGTTATTATTAGTTACTTTGTTTAATGAATTCATTTCGTGTTTTGCCTTGAGAAAGTCTGCATGGGACTTGAAAATATTTTTTTTTTACAGTTTTCCTATTGAATTGTCTGTTACATACATATATATATATATATATATATATATATATATATATATATATATATATTGACAATGAAGTTCAGCTTTTACAAG